ATGAGTTTTATCTATATTGTAAAAAAATAAGTTTTTTACCAAACCTGGATCTGAGTGAATAACCTTTGAGACAGTGTATCAATATTCCGAACCTAAAGAAAAATAAAATAATGTGATCTGATAAACCGTTTTAGGTTTTGGATATCAGTGTAAAATCTCGAAGCTTCTTTACCTGTGCATAGGTTGAGTAATAAAAATCTATTTTCTTAGAGTATATCGAACATTCATAGAGAACGGCAATAGGTAAAGATTAATATTTTCTCACAGAGTGAATAATAATCAGACGATATTTGCTAATATCTTTTTATCTGTATGATATTCGATAGCTTAGCCAAAAATTATACAAAATGGTCCTTTCAATTTCAAGTATTTTCGATGGATAAGATTAAATTATTCAGTATCTGATGTTAAATCAATTTTTGGCGAAGCTCATAGTCATCAAGGTTTTGATGCATTCTAAAATCACAGAACAGATCCAACGACTTCAAATATATTTTCGAACAAGTTTTCCTTAGAAAATATCCGAGAAAGAGTCGAACAGTAAAATCGACGATTCGATGAGTTTTTTCGTGAAATGGTTTGGAAATCTGACGAGTTCTAGATGCTCAACAAAAAGATTCAACCACAGCATCATCTGTGTTGATAATAAAGCTTGTGGTACAGCGGTTGGTAATTCGAAAGTCCCTGAGTACTTGAAAACAAGTCGAGGGAATCGAAGTAGAGATTCGATTGGTGAAAAATCTTATGAATGTTGAATGCATCAGAGTAGATCAATAAATTAAAAGTCAGAATTCAATAGTATCAAATTTTTGAAAAATCTATGTTGATAATTTTGAGAGGCCAAACAACTTTATATTCGAAACATTGCTCAACCCCTTGTCGCTTCTCAGTAATGCTATTGTAGGAATTTTTGTGAATTGTTAAACTTTCTAGTATTCAGTGATCGTGACTTTTCTTCTGTGTTGGAGTGTAAAGTAGCATCAGTCCAGACTCATAAGCCTTGCTTAATTAAGCGAAAGAACTGATTAAACAGTCCTCTTCAAGGAACCAATTCACATTAGGTAAAAAATGCTGTCAAGGACTTTTTGGGATCTACTTCAACATAGCACCTATAACTTTTCATCGTTATCTTAGGATGGTCTCTATAACTTTCCACGGCTTATCGATAGATAATATTCTCAAAACCGGGAAAAAATCGGTCGAGCCGAACTGGTTTGAAGATTCTTGACAGATTCGAACTCTAGGGAAAACTATATAAAGGTGTAAGTACGATTCCTAGATAGCTCCTAAAAAGTTAACTGTACGACCTAAAAGAAGGCTATTCAATGCTTCAGCTCTTTGGAAAGGAACTGCTTGAACAACTCAATTGCCATTCACAAGCATTTCCAATAGCTCCTTTAATCAGATCTAGAGCTCAACTACAACACTCTTATCGGAGCAGAAAAATCTTCAGAAAGTTTTTTAAAAGATCTCATCGCTTGCCAATGATCATTATAGTAACCAGCTAACTTACGTGCAATGTGAAATTTCTTCGTTAATTCTATTCTTTTAATAAAATGCTGAAAATATATTTTCATTTTCTTGTGGCATTCATTGATTGTATAGACAACGTTTCCCTCGTATAATACTGAGGTTCAAGACAATATTCGTACAAACTGTTTTTTTATTGTAGTGTTCTGGCTGATCTATTATCTACAGCACATGAACAATGTATCAAGAATCCTATCGATCAGACAGAATCACCAACTAAGCACCTTCAAAGTCTTCCTCCAAGCGATATTATCAGTACGGTAGAACAATATGACGGAACGAAAGATTTATTGACCAATTCGCTGGTGCAGATACAAAAAATAGGAGAAGCTAAATTTAACAGAAACACGTACAGTTTGATTAATACTTCTATCGTTTATCCGAAAAATTGGTGTCCTCCTCCATCATTCACTCGTTCACCTTATCACATTCTTTCAAACAAGCAGAGTGAACATGAAATAAAAGGTTGGTATACGTCTGCACTTGGTAAATTCTTATCACCGCCGATGAAACAACGATTATGGCAACTGGAACCAGCAGAATGGTCTGCATTTTTAGCGCCTTACGCGGCATATAACTATGTTGATTTAATGGGGAAATTTTTGGCTATATTTGTTCTAATTGATGATCAATTAGTTGAAGTTGAAGCTTCAGAACAAAAAAGGTTAACATTAGAACATTTGTTTATGTTTGCTCAAACATGGAAATTCGCATTTCAACGACAAAATGGCCAGGAGATGGACAGCAAAAATTTAGCAAGAGAAATTCATAATCTTGCATTAAAAACAAATATTTCTCTATTAGAACCATGTTTTCAAGCATGGTCTTCTATTGCCGATAGTTATGTAAGATTCGGTGCTGATGAAGTATGGTGTAATAGAATGTGTGATGCAATAAAAGAATGGATTGAATTAGGAATTCGAGAATTAATAGGAAAGCAACGCATAAAACAATCATCATCCTTGACAGAGTTACGAACACAGATTCCTGTTACTCTCACTTCATACGATCATTCATCCCTTCGTCAGGCAACAAGGGGAAAGACAATGACCATTGATATGAATGGTATGTCTCTCTTGGAAATTCTCCTACGACAGAGAATCGCCACCATTGGGATACCGATGATGTCACTCTTATTAGAGCAATCATGTGGTCTCAATTTATCATCGATCGATCCATTGTTACGTCCTTCTATCAATATAGCAGCAATCATGCCTTCATTGGTCAATGAATTAGTCGGAATGGGAAGAGATTTAAGAGGCGAACCAAATTTTTCATTAATCTATCGTCAAATCTTTAATTGTTCATTGCAACAAAGTTTTCATTTTACTTTGACATTACATGATTTGGCTATGAAAACATTCGATCAGAATGTCCAAAAGATAATTCAATCTTTGAAATCTCCTTCTTTGCAACATTATGTCTCAATTTACATGCAATTTCTACGTCTACTAGTTCGTGGTTATGCTCAGTGGCACCATTATTCAGATAGATACAAAAATCGTATTGCACTAGATGAAACACATAAACAAATACTAATATGTTCGGTTGCCGATGGTCAAAATCAACGTTATGATGCCGTGCAAGATGCATTACAACAATATCGATCGCATAAAGTAATACACGAAAGTCTTCAGTAATATTTATACTTCAAAATCAAAACCAAACCTGAACTCTTATTACACCTATTCAAACTACTTAAGTCATACCAAAAGTAGTGAGCCCCCCCACCCCCCATCTTAACTTCGTATGGACTGCTTGCCAAACGGAGTTGGGTGTGGGTGTNTTTCAGATCTTTTGATTGCTCCTATCCTGAAAAAAAAATATCGGAATCTGCCAGTTTAAATGAGAAAAGTAAAACACATTGCATTTGCCTTAGTCGTATCTTAGGATAGAAGAAATCAAAAGATGTGACACTTTCATAATAAACTACTCTCGTTAAGAGCTGTCTTTAAGCAAAGCTTCATATCGAAATTTGAAACTTAGTCTTCCTAGTGTCCCTGAGGGGGAACACAGTAATAGGATAAAAAATACTGTAAAAATATAATATCTCGGCAGCCGAAAGCTAGCAGCCCGAATTATTTTCAGGCTATTCATAACTCATTAGGATCTACATGATACACATAGTCCTGATTCAAAAGCGATTTCACACTTACATATGTTCCCTCGGTAGAAGTTCTCTTACGACAGAGAATAGCTACTATTGGAATACCGATGATGTCACTCTTGTTAGAACAATCATGTGGTCTTTATTTATCATCAATCGATCCATTATTACGTCCTGCTATAAATATAGCAGCCATCATGCCATCATTAGTCAATGAATTAGTTGGAATGAGAAGAGATTTAAGAGGTGAACCAAATTTTTAATTGATTTATCGTCAAATGTTTAATTGTTCATTGCAACAAAGTATTTATTTTACCTTAACTTTACATGATTTAGCTATGAAAACATTTGACGAAAATATTCAAAAGATATTGCAATCTTTGAGATCTCCTTCTTTACAACATCATATCTCAATTTATATGCAATATTTAGGTCTACTAATTTGTGGTTTTGCTCAATGGCATCATTATTCAGATCGATTCAAAAATCTTATTTCACTAGATGAAACACATAAACAAATATTAATATTTTCGATTGCTGATGATCTAAATCAACGTTATTATGCTCTACAGGATGCATTATTACAATATCAATCGCATAAAATAATACATGAAAGTCTTTACTAATATTTATTCTTGAAAATCAGAACAATATCTCAATTCTTATTACATTTGTTCAAATCGGAAGAAAGAACTTTGGTTTTTTTTTCATTAAAAGAAACTTGGAAACAAGCAAATATATCAGAATCGGAACATTTTTCAACAGCAAAGAATATTTTATAGTGCGTTTTTTTATTTATCATATATTTTTAACCGATATGTTTTATAGTATAGTAGACGGTTATTCTCCTTTCTGACCGTATTCTTACTAACTTTTAGTGATCATTTTTATGATAATAAATCTTCTATAAAATATTAATAATATCTACTCTAGATAGTTATAGATATTCCATGGATGATGATGTAGTCTTATTAATAATGTTTTAAACATACTGCATTTCCTGTAGATAAATCAAAATATTATAGTTCTTTTTTCCTCGAAGATGAGGCTTTATATTTGAAAAATGTTGCTACACTTATCTGTCCGAACTAATCACGATGCAGAGCAAAGATTAATTTATAGAATTAGTTTTTTATGCTAAAAATTCATTTACTGTGGAAAGAAATCTCTAGAAAAGGATTAACTATCATACATTTTATTTTTTTCTCTATGAGAGTCAGTTGGAATTCTTTTTGAAAAATACTCTGTGATTTATTCTATAAGAGTTGTTTACAAAGTATTTTAATTGAAAATATTGGTCTTACCTTACATTATACACTAATTACTTTGATCATCTAAAACAAAAATATGTTCCTAACATGAAAATTTAAATGAAATTGTAATTGATTTTATGAGATTTGAAATTTTTCGACAAGCAATTTCGCTTATCCATTGTAGACACCTTCAATTTTCCAAAGAACAATCGTCTATCTCGTTCGAGCACGAAACTTTTAAAGATGAAGAGAATTTTCAATTGTTTCCGGCGCTTATTTCTAATCAATTGACTGCTAGTTTTAGTACTGACCATATCATCTATTATATTGATCACTTCAATAGGAGTCAATACGTATTGTTTCAAAGGAAAATATTGTGTATATTTTTAAGTTATTTTAAATGATAAATTGTCTAGTAAGCATTAATCAACTCATAAAAATGGTGAAGCTGGAGCAGTGTCGAAGCAAAATTTTGCTTCTAGCTCCAAGAATAACCTCACTTTTTTACTTTTCTCATATGAAAAGATTTGGAAGGAAGATTACATGAGAGTCCATCGAAAATGTTGAGAAAAAACTGTGATTAAATTCTTATATCTTCTAATCTCTTTATCATCAAAAGTGTTACCAGGAACTTATACTTTCATATATAACTTCGCTCGACTTCAATATTTATTGATTGAATTTCAATAAAAACTAATGAATTCGTATTAATTTTATCACTTATTGTATGGAGGATGTGAGTGTGGGTGTTCTCATCATGCACACCCACACCTTGGCACTAATATACTCTACAAATCTCAATCCGTTTCGACTTAGCTGAACTCATAGATTTTTTTGAAAGAGGAAAAAGCCTTAATCGAATTTCTCTACTCGGTAATAACTTTTATTCTCGGCTAAACAGCTTCGTACTTCAACTTGACCTATTCACAGTTCCGCTTTAAAGCAACATTATATTTCTTTGCGTTATAGTTTACAATATATGAAAGGATATCCCAAATGAAGGGCTAAGAATAAGAATTGGAGTCACTGCCAGTCTTCCAATATGTCTGTGTCTTGTTTGGCCATTTATAAAGGTTTCTAAGAAATCATTGTAAAGGTCTTCGAGTTTTTTTTTTGAAAATTTCTACAATTTTCCAGAAAAAACAGAAATTTCAATAAAATAAAAATTAGCTTTGAACTACACCTTCCCTACCTACCTCTAGACATTTCATCCCGAAAAACTCGTAGATATATAAATGCAAAGTGGCTCTTTTCTGTTTTCTACTACAGAGACGAGGTTTTTTTGATAGAAATATTTTTAAAAATTTTGTCTCAGAAGATGAAAAAATTGGACCGTAACAGAAACTTATCTTCAATTTTATAACTTCTAAAGTGCAGTTGAAGCCGAGTAGAATTTTATTCGGTGGACTAAGAATGATTACATGTATTTTACATAATAACAACGAATAAACGATGAATATTGCATAAACTAAAATGCTAGTCTTGCAAGAGTAATTTCCTTCTGTGTCTCTGTACCATTTGATAGAATTCATCGTTATCATGGCATTAAGGATTCCAATCATGTTAGAAGCAATTGCACGCACTATTTCGCCATTTTCATAGTCATTTAAATCATATTTTTAGTTGCTCTCTTAACTATTTAGTTATGACGAAATACCGGAATAAGTTCACAAAAATATGTCAAGACTATTAAAAAAAAATATTGCCTGACTCTCAAAACTATAGCATTTCAATAGATGAATGTTCATTGTTAGTCAATCAGTTTAGCCTAGAGTAAAGTGAAGTGAATATCAATGAGAATCATTTCTAAGTCTATAGTTGTAAAGTATATTGAGATAATCTCTAATTACTTTTATGATTTCTAATGCCAAAGCATGTGTAAAATCTTTGAATAAATGCCGTAAATTTATTTTTATATTGCTCTGATGGTAATAGAAACACCATATATGTAATCATGGATGGAGTAAAAGAAAAAAAGATATCCAAAGACATGTAACCATGAATTTCTCGGTGATTTCATACAGTCACTGGCAATTGAGATAATGAGACGAGGTAAAACCAATAAAATAAAAGTACATGATGCAAATAGATGATGTTTATGTTTATTAAAAATATTGTCGCAGATGTGTGGCGAATAGTATTGTATTTTGAGTTTGCCAACGAGAACGAATTATGTGCTTTATTGTTAATATTGTAGAAATTATATTCTCTGAGAAAGGAAGAACAATATGAAAAAAGTGTAATACACATATTGAAGATGTTTAATGCAGAAGAATATGGAACTAAATATCAAGTTCGTTTTTCATCAATATCAATATCATCAAACAAATGATGATGAAGAAGATCTTGGATATGAGTGAGAATTGTTATTAAATATACACATAGACAAGTCCATGAAAATACTTTCTTGCATTGAAGTTGATAGAAACTAACAGCTCGAACAATTGTAAATACTCGTTCAAGTGAAATACAAGCATAAAATCAATCATTTGTTGTTACAAGAATTTTGAAAGTCACATCTAAAAATGTACAATTTAATGTAAGACATAATCGATTATTAATAATTGAAATTTTTGATAAAAATAATTGCCAAAATTCGATAATTAAGATAGTGATTAAACACAAGGAATTCCATGATGAAACGAGGAGATAGATACTACCATCGTTTTTCTTATTGGTCAGTCCTAAAATAAACACAACAACTACAATACAAATATTTATTTTAATAATGAACGGATGTTGATAAATGGAAACATTTGGCTTAATGTTACAAAACCAAGAATATAATCAAGAGATAATGCAAAATTTTTTCTAGAAGACTGGCATTTTGTACCATAATAACATGCTGAACATACACAAATCGATAAAAGAGGATATTTAAGAGTGTCATGAAAGCATAGACCATTATTTTTGCATATATTTTCTCCTTAACAATCATGAGATATGGTTTGATTTTGAATGTAAAACAATTAGAAAATCGATTAACATCACATATGCACATGTATGTTTTATCATAGAAATACTTCAATTGCTCTTCTTGTTGACATAAATAAGGATAAAATTTAACATGATGAAGCAAAGCATGATTTGAAAATGTATTATTCATTAAGTCATTTATAGATGAACATCGATAATATTTTTGTTTGAATATGTTCTAATTCGATAAATTTCTCTCTTAATACAACTAAATAATACGTTTGATTAGTTAATTCAATGAAAATAGCATGAAATAGATCAGTCGTAAAAATGCTGATTATATTTTGTGCAAATTTAATCTTTTTTAATAATGTGTTTCGCTGATGATCCGCATTTTCCATTGAAGTAATAAAATGCACCCAAATAATTAACATCATATCAATATTTTTATCATTCAATGCAAAATTAATTCGATTTTTGAAATTCTTACATCTCGTTTTGAAAAAATTTTCTGTACACAAATATGTAAAACTATTCGAACGTATACGATCATTATGAGATATGAAGATTCCATTATTTTGACAAGTTGAATTATTTAAGTAACATCTCGTACCGAACTTATGTCGTGGACAAACACTAATCGACGATCTAAGACAATTTGAATCTAATGAATAAGAACAATTGTGTTAAATATTACGTTGTAGACCCGAAAATCCTGCATGATATTGACAAAAGTATGAGAAGTTTCTATTCATGTATTGTACATATCGACTATGATTGCCACAGAATAAAGAGCATAATTTTGATATTATTTTTGAGTTTGGAATAAATAGTTGAGCAGCAATTCGATTAACCGGTAGAAACTGAAATGAAATAGAAAAATGTCAACTTCCCAAATACAGATGTTTACAAAAAAAACTTGCACAACTTCTTTTACGGATATTATTTTTGATATAAGTATTTTTCAAATTTTTTCATACTAGGATGCATTCACTTGTAAAAGCAAAATAAGACAAACATGTGTTTTTTTGTCGGATGCAAGAAAAAATAATTATAATCGAAATTTTAACATTTTTAGTCGTTTGCGATGAAAAAATGTTGACTAATTAAGAGCTCTCCTCAAATCTTTTCTATAGGAACCGATAGTCTACAATGACTGTGTATGTGAGCGTAGGTGTGGGTATGGGCGTAGATATGGACGGGTGTAGATTTAAGGAACGGTGACTGTGAACGTAGGCTAAGAGTGTGCATGTCACTATGCATTGATGTTCTTTTTATTTAGGCAAAGCATACGACAGTAGGACAGAAGTGAATTACCAAACCATTCAAAAAGTATCATTAACATGATCTACTAGAGTCTCCTGGCTCTATTTGGATTTCTTGGCGTTCATTCTGAGAGATGTTGTTTGAATAGTCTTACAGCACCCATACCGAGAAAAATGTGATGTGAGCCTTTTTGTCACCAAACAATAGTTTTGAACGTGGAGACCCTGATAGACCATGGCTTAAAAATTTCGAATTATTTTGTAATTCATTTGCATCATTCAGTGTGTCTTACTGAATTTTTAATTTTTCACCTAAGAAACTATGATTAGACAGGTGTTTCTTTTCGAACTTTGAAGGCACATCATATTTCAATGACATATTGATTTCTGCATCGGAAATATATTCTCAACACTCACCATCTTTTGAAGTGTTTTCAATTACCCATTGTAGCACAGTGACTCGACGGTCCCAAGAGATCTTTCATACTGATGGAGAAAATATTAACAATCAACTGAAAAACACAGCTATATAATTCAACCATCATCAACTTTAACATGTTGCATCTGAAACAACTACTACTCATAGACGTCTCTTAGGTTTCAGATGTCTATGATATCATGTTTTCCAGCTGAGATACTCGACGTAACAATCAACATTTCAATAAAAGAATCATTGCTCATTATTCCTGTTTCACATATAATATCTGCTTGTTTGATAACCATTTCGATACTATATATGTTTTTGCATCAGAATCAATCGTCGTAGTGTATCTTCTAATTGGAATTTGTATCAACCATACTTAGAGACCACCTAAACTACACCACGAACGCAATCATTTGCATTTTCATTTACAGTGTATTCACCATCAAACAAATCATTATGATAACACATTTCATTATTAATGAGATTCGTACATTCTATTAGCTGTAGAAGTTCCAATATTCATTGTCTATCTTATTGTCGATATCATGAATTTTCTACACAAGGCACAATCCCAAACTTAAATAATTGATATACTCTCACTGGTTCTATTAGCGAATCATTTGATATATCTAGCAATTCGTATTGTTCATGTTCTTCTAAGGTTTTGAAATTTTCATTACTTCCATTTGTTGAAATTTCTATTGATTCGAATCTTCTTCTTATATTGAAATTTCACCATCTTTAAATCCTAGAATTTTAGAATAGGGTCACTGCTGTGATTTCGAAATATATTTCTTCATCATAGTTATTACTCATCAATGATTCAATACTTTTTTCTCTTTCTCTCTTTGTCTTATGCTTAATGCTATCGAAAGATAAATAAATAAATAAATAAATATGCTGCGTAAAAAAGTGTTGTGTGTGTTTTTTTCTCTAAAGATAAGTATTTGTATAATATGGGTGAATATAATCTTGTTGAAATTGAGCATCGGAACCATGTAACGCATAATCGAGAGCTCCTTGTGATATCATGGGTGGTAGAGTTTGATTATAATTATATGATTCAAATGGATATTGACCTTCATATTGCATCGAATTGTGTGGAAAATAATTATTAGAATTATATTCTGGTGAATTAAAGTAATCAGTTGGAAAATGTTGATTTAAATATCCTTGATCAT